TCATTCCATGAGCAGCCACTTCAGGTCAACACTCCAAGAGCATTCCTCTAGAGAAGGATTGGTCTGAGCCCTTCCAGACTGGAAAGATTTCAGCAGAGGCAGGCAAAAGAGGTAGGAACTTGGGACCCAAAAGAGGAGATCGGGGGTTGCAACTCAAGAAAACCCAGGATCAAAATGACCCTCAGCAGCTCAAGATGAGGAAACTGTAGTGGTAAAGCAGAGTGTCCGATGGCAGCACACCCACCTTCTTGACAAGTATGGAAGCTAATGAAGAGCACTGTGGTAGAGGTATAAGGATCTCAAAGCACAAATTTTCATGGTATGAAGAAAAAGGTGTGGTGATGCAACCCCCCTGCTTTTATGATGTAGGATAAATCCGTCTGGTACTGATTTTGCACTCGACTCCATCAATATCGTCCCATGCTAGAAATCCTCGTGATTTAATTAAGGCTACTGGTATAGTTCCCACAGATGGTATTTTTACCATCACAGGCTGCCCCAGTTTCATTGAAGACTAGGTATGCCCTGTTGTTCAGTTTGTTTCCTTTCAGAGGAGATGTTAGAAAGGCTCAAGAGATTTGACTTCCATAGGGACCATAATGATTATTTAGTTGCTGTAAAATTTTAGAGATGGTTGTCCTGTTGCCCTTCATGTGGTTTAAGATATTTTTTCCATAGTCCATTGGCTCGTTCAACTATACCATTAGACTGTGGATAATAAGGTGTGTGAAATACCCATTTATTGTTTTGCCCTTTCTTGTACTTCTTTGTTAGTAACACGTGAGCCTTTATCACTCTGGATGGAGTCTGGAACTGGTAACGTTGAGAGCCATGAAGAGAGGCCTCAGATGGCATTTTGTCCATTAGCCTTTTGGCATTTGGTAGCTGCAAGGAGTCCAGATATTATTTCTACACCTGTTAAGATATATTTATAGCCAGCAGAGGGTTTTAAAAGACCAATGCAATCAATTTGTCAAGTAGACCATAAGGCTTTTCCTTTGCCAAGGTGTAAAGGTGGTGCTTTAGCAGGGTGGTCTGGTTGCAGCTTTAATTGACACTGGGGACTTTAGGTAAGGATGGTTTCACATGGTTTTTCTACTAAGGGGCCAGCCTCGGCTTTGAGCTGAAACATAAGGTGCTTCTCGGGCCTGTGTGGCCTGATCAACTTGCTTAATTGCACGGACCAAGGACAAAAGACCTCTTTCCCTCTCAGAATACCTCTGGTCTGTCTGTAAAAGCAGCCGAGCTAAACAGCGTAGGTCTTTTTAGTCCCTCAGAACCAGTTTGAAATAGATTACAGTAAGTACCGTGCTCTGCAAAATCCCATTCCGCTATAATAGGATCACAAGGAGGGACAGGTCCCAGAGATTGATACGGTTTTAATTCTTGTGTTAGGGTTTTGACTGCCTCTTCATGTTCTGAGTCCCATTTCCACGCTTTTCTTTTTGGCAGAAGTGAATACAGTGGGTGGGAAATGATGGAGAATCCTCCAGTGCTCTGAAGCACCCATCAGCTGTTGCAATTCTTTCCTTGGCTGGGGCACCTGTGATTGTTCAGTTTTGTCCAGAGTGTCCAGTGGAATTGCTGCACTTCCAGCAACCCACCAAGTGCCCAGAAATTTCACTTCTCTCCTCAATCCCTGACATTTTTCCGGTGGTATTTCAATGTTTCCGGCATGTGATGTGTGCCAAACTGTTGCTGCCACTTCCCTCACCTTTTCAGGGGACGTTCCTCCCACTAGAACATCATATACATATATATTTATATAGTTTTACTCCTTCGGGGAGGGGAACTGCCTGAAAAAGTTCAACAAGCACAACATGAGCGATTGTGGGTGAATGTTTATACCCCTGTAGGAGCCTATTAAAGGTCTATTGGATACTTTTCCATGTAAAAGTATATTTTTCTTTATCCTCCTCCTGTAAGGGACCATGAAAAGCATCTCTTCCACACCTAGGACTGCCATCCAAGGATGTGAGGCGCCTTGCAAAGCAGCTGTTAGAGTTGCAATATCGGGGACTGCAGCTGTCAACGGGGCTGTGTTGGCAATTAAGCACTGATAATCAATCGTTAAACACCAATTCCCCTCCAGTTTACAGACTGATCAAACTGAAGAATTACATGGGGAGTGAGTCCTGAAAAATAATTTGTTGTTTTTCAAAATCTGCAGTTACTTCTGAAATTCCAGTCTGTGCTGCAGCAGAAATTGGGTACCGTGGGACATGAGTGGTCTTTGATTTGGGAAGTCCCAGGTGCACCTACTCTGGCAGCCTGTTGATTTTCAGTAGGGTAAGGATTGGCATTCCAACCAAAAGACCATAAGCTACCATCCAGCAGACACCAAGTCCAGCCCCTCAACGCCTCAAAACCAGGATATTCTCATGGTGCTCTTTAACTGCAGAGTGAATAGATGTCACACGCTTTTTGCCAGGGGGCCATAAATTCAGTTTTTGTGGTTTGGCACACAGCATGACTTCTCATAGCCCAAGTAATTTTAACCTTTTGCCACCCAGGTCATAAGCCCACCTTGTTAGCATCCTATTGTGTATTAATTGAAATTAGTGCTCCAGTATCCATTAAAAATTTCGTTAATTGTTTTTGAGGACCAACTGGAAATAAAATGGAAGGGCCATTCTCATTTAGCCATTGATAAGCTCCTACTTGCCGGACAGGCAGGCCCCATCTCCATCCAGGCACTATTAGTTTTTTGGGTTTGCACTTTGTAACCCATTGCTTTGAGGAGAGAAAGGGTTATTTTTCTCCCTGAGGGCCAGCGATGGAGGAGTTGGAGTGTTTGGATGGTCGCATTTCTGGAATACTTGAATTGGACTCAGAGTGACATCAGTAGGCTGTCTCTGAATCATGGCTCTAGGAATTCCTAGTGCCAATGTCATCTTCCTCTTCGTCCTCTTTGCCCTCACTTTCTCTAGTGGTCTGCATTAAATTTATTAATTCATTATAACTTAAGTTCCTGTGGATTTCATCTCTTTCTGCAATAAGGAAAGATTTTATTTACTAAAGAGCCATTATTATTTGAAGCACCCCAGATATTACCATCCCAGTCTTCAGGAGACTCTAGTTGTTTTAATCTGGGCTATGTTGGAGGGATTTGGAGATGGCATTAGCATCAATATGTTCACTGACTTTTTCTTGTGTGAGCTGAGATTTGTTGTTTTCGCAGTTGTTCTATTTTAATTGATAAAAACAGTTCAGTAGATTTGTGCCCCTCTCTCTCATCCTGTAAGTCCTGCATTTTTTGAGTAAGTTTTACACTTTCCTGACAGGCAGCTTCTAGGCAAAATCCCAACACGCTACACATTATACCTTTATCCTTTCCAACTCCATTTGTACCCCTAGCATCAGTTAACTGTTTCTCTGCCTCTTCCCAGTTATGCCAATTATTAACAAGCCCGAACCTCTGGAAAGATGGGATTTGTTTGCATACCATTTTTTTGTAAGTATTGGGTGATTTTGCTTATCATCCTGCCAACCACATCGATTTGTCGTGGATGGGAATATTTGACATGGTTATGATTTAGCAGCAATTCAATATTTATTAATAATTTGAGGCAGATCAAGAGGTTGAATAGGTTGAATGGGAGCAGCACTTAATCATTAACCGATTTCAGGATTTACAGGGTGATTTAACAAAATAATTGAACGGTGGCTTAATTATGGATTCGAAAATGACAAGATTCACACTAACTTACTATTAGGTATCCCAAATCAATACATATGCATATGAGCACAAAGAAACAAACACACATGCGAGTCTTCAACTGCTAGGACCAAAGGTCCCTTGGCAGTGGGTGACTCCAATGAGCTGGCAGGTGTCCCTCTGGACTCCTTATGCACATGCAGACAAAGGGACAGAAATCATTTGGATCCAGTAGAAGAACCCCCACACCCCTAAGACCTAATGTGGGTATTAGACATGTGGATAGAGACATGGATGAAAGAAAGACTATTCCATAGTTAAAATTTCACTTTTCTGGAGGTTGCAGTAAACAGAACACATCAGCATTTCTCAGCAGGTGATAACTGAGACTCAAGAGGGGTGACTCACCCTGGCCTTTCAGTCCTCGAGGTGTCTGCCTGAGCAGTGTCCTGGCTCAGAGAAGAGGGTGGTCACAACCTGCTGGGATCCAGAAGAGCTGAAAGGATCTCCTTCAAATTGTGTAGGGTCAGAGATAATTGACTTTCATCAGGTACTCTTCCAGTCCAGCTCGGGTAATGGGATATTCTGGTTTTTTTCCACCAGTTGTGCAAACCCAGAACTTGCTAGATCTTGAAGTTCTGGTATCACCCCCCCCACTTTGGGCCACAATCCATTTATTGTCGGGAGTGATGGATTACCTTTATTGTTTCTAGGTGTCAGGGGAGCCAGGTGCGCTAAGGGATTGCCATAACCTTCTGGTCCACCACCCTTCACTTACTACCTGGGACCATTACCCATCCCAGGTATTAATGGTCTGACATAACGTTCTGGTCCTTTGTGGGGGTGGAAAAACCACACCAAGTGGGTTAAAAGGGAACAGGGGGCATTGCACCCCCAACACCAGGTGCCTGGTGGAAGGGCAAACACTCCCTGACCAAGCCCCACTGGTCTTGACATACTGCAGCAGTCAGGTTCCACAAAGAGGTGACAGAAGGTAATACAGCTTCCCTCACCCCAGATGGCAAGAAAATGAAAAGAAAAATAAAGAAAAGTACACTTCACTGACCCCTAAACTTAAGCAAGAAAAAAAAAAAAAAAAAAGAGCTTTTGGCACAAGGAAGCTCTTCTGCTGGCTCACAGAACTGAAGCCTGAAGCTACAGCAAAATGATGTCCTTTAAGCTTCATTTGCATATGAGCTATCAATAAAACAAAACCTGGGGCAAAAGGGCAGACAAAAACCGAAAGAGACACTGATTATCTTCTGAAAACCAGTGAGCTTACACCCCCCGAGATGTATACTGCCCACTGCATGCAGCTCCAACAGAGGCACACAGAAAGGCCTTATTTTGGCAATTTTAATTCTCCCTCCTTTATTATACAAAATACTTTACAATTAAAAAACATTTTCCCCAATAGAATCATATACAGATATTTATAATTAACAAGATTCAGTTACACACAAGACGGGGAACTCCTGCACAAAGGGAAACAATGACAGATGATCAAGTGAAAATTAAGACTTGACCCTTTTCCCCACCATATTCTGGGAGGGGAAGTTGTATTTTAGACCTTTATCCCTGTCACGTTCCCTCAAGTCTGAACTCTGGGATCTCCTCTAACCCTGCCAGGCTAAGGGCCTCCACCTGCGTCCCCAGCATCAGTACAACACTCTGCTCTTAAAAGCTTCATGAGGAGATGCTGAGAAACTAGGATCTGGCCGTACCATGAATACCCAAGAAGAGGGGACTGCTCCCCCCAGTTTTCCCCAGCAACCCACACATACACGCATGCAAGCACATCCATGGGGGAAGCATGCTCCAACCCAGAATTTGTCACCCTCTCACCAGATGGCAATCCCACCCCACCAAAGCAACCTGCGCTCGAGATGCACCTCCAGTAGGGAGGTCCCTGCAGAATGGCTATTTTAAGGTCTCAGAGCAAACGCAAGAGGGCTGGTGGTTGCCATCTTCCCAACTTTGGTCATCTGCCTACCAGCAGAGTGTCAGTCAGTCATGGGTGGTGATACCATGAACCGCTCAGAGACGCTCAGGCCACGACAGACAAGTTGCGCGCTTCAGTGGGAGGTCCTTGAAAAAAAAAACAGTTGCCCAAGATCTGCCCTACCAGAGCAAAGATAACACGTGAACCCTAGTGAACGTTTTCTCTCTAAGGAAGGTCACTGCTGAGCTGGGCCAACCCCGCACTCACAGGGGAGCCCATCCCAGAGTCACTGCTGGAGGCCGAACGCCTGAAGCAGCGTGGGAAGGTCGCGGGCATCAGCCGCCCCGTAGAGGTCACTCTGCCCCAGCATGGAGAGGGCCATGCGGAGGGTGCTCCAGATGTTGTCAGACATGGCACCTTGCTGCCCCCGCGGACCTCGGCTCTTCTGCTGCATGTGCAAAGCTTCTAAGAAGTGCTCCACAGCCTCGCTGTCAACATGAAAACATACACGTGCTTACTGAAGGGGATGGTCAAATGTCATACTCCCTCCCCCATTTGCTTCTAAATGACCTCCCCTCCAAAACAGTTTCCTCCTCTTCATCAGATCCTACCCCGCTCCAGAACCAGAAGATGTCCCCCTGTACTCAGCACTGGTGAGACCCCACCTCGAGTACTGTGTCCAGTTTTGGGCCCTCCACCACAAGAAAGACATTGAGGTGCTGGAGTGGATCCAGAGAAGGGCAACGAAGCTTGTGAGGGGTCTGGAGAATAAGTCTTATGAGGAGAGGCTGAGGGAGCTGGGGTTATTCAGCCTGGAGAAGAGGAGGCTGAGGGGAGACCTTATTGCTCTCTACAACTCCCTGAAAGGAGGGTGTAGAGAGATGGGGGTCGGTCTCTTCTCTCAAGTCACAGGCGACAGGACAAGAGGAAATGGCCTCAAGTTACGCCAGGGGAGGTTCAGGCTGGATATTAGGAAAATTTTTTTTAATTAAAGGGTTATCAGACACTGGAATGGGCTGCCCAGGGAGGTGGTTGAGGCACCATCCCTGGAGGTGTTCAAAAGATGGGTTGATGTAGTGCTGGGAGGTATGGTTTAGTGATGATGCTCCTTGTTTGTTGTGTGGGTGTCTATTTTTGTCAGTTAGGTTGACGGTTGGACAAGATGATCTTTAAGGTCCCTTCCAACCTAGAAGATTCTGTGATTCTGTGATCCCCGTTTCCCACTCTTAACAGAAACTGAAGTCCAGTTGGCCCCTACTCCAAGGGATCCTGCGTGACACCTTGTTCTCAGGGCAGAGTCCACACACTCACCCTGCTCTCCTATGCCAAGAGAAGGCTGCAGGCAGCGTGGCACACTGCCCTAGCAACCCACTGCAGTCTCTCTCCCACAAACACATGCACACGCACGGGTCACAGCAGATCTGCCCACTCTATGCTCACCGGTGGGCACCTAAGTTGATGCAACTGATGCCCAAGTTGTAGCGAGAGCGGATGTATCCTGGCTGGAGCTCCAGTGCCCGACGATACGCCGCCACAGCCTCCTCACTCCGATTCCCATTGGCCAGGGTGGCACCAAGTTTGTTCCATAGAAGATGGTCCTGGAAGAAGGGGCAGAGAAAGGGCTGAGAAACTGGATCTTTTTCAGCCCCGAGCCAACCTTCCCTTTCCCACCTGCCCGTCTTATAGAATCATAGAATTGCCCAGGCCGGAAGGGACCTCCAATGGTCATCTAGTCCGACCTCCCCGTAGTCAGCAGGGACACCCCCAACTAGACCAGGTTGCCCAGGGCTTCATCGAGCCTCTCCTTGAATATCTCCAGGGAAGGGGCCTCAACCACCTCCCTGGGCAACCTGTTCCAGTGCTCCACCACCCTCACAGTTGAGAAACTGGATCTTTTTAAGCCCCGAGCCAACCCTCCCTTTCCCACCTGCCCGTCTTATTCCTCCACTCCAAAAATGAACCTCTGGTACAAGCAGCAGCTCCACCCAGACCTTCACCCATCCACAGCCTGCCCTTTCTTACGTTGGGGCGCACACTGAGTGCTTACTCCTCCGCTCCAAAAATGAACCTCTGGTACAAGCAGCAGCTCCACCCAGACCTTCACCCATCCACAGCCTGCCCTTTCTTACGTTGGGGCGCACACTGAGTGCGGCGCTGAAGCAATCCACAGCCTTCTCGTACTCGCCACTGAGGTTGAAAAGGACACCCAGGCCACACTGAACATCAGGATCCACAGTGGAAGGGTTGCTGCGCACAGCTGCTAAGAACAGCTCTTTCACCTCCATGAAGAGCGAGCTAGAAAAGCACAGAACAAGGATATTGGTGTACTGTGGAGACAGCTGGCCTTGCGTTGCTCCTTCTCCTCCTGCCTGGACCAGTCCCAACCCTCCAAGAATCCTTTCAAGCTGAAGGCTGAAATTTATAATCCCGACTCACTCAGACAGCAGGGAACCTAGGACACGTTTGGAAGGCCCCAGGTTTGTCCCCGAGACACCCTCCTCTGGTTCCTTCTCCAGCAGGTGAGCATAGTCTGGTTTATGGCGTAGCCAGTCCCGCAAAGTCTCACACGCCTGCTTCTGCAAGGACTCGTTGGTGAAGCTGACAGCTAAAGCCATAAGTGCTGTGAGGTTCCCAGGCTGCAGTTCCAAGCACCTGCAGGTCAAAGAAGGAAAAGTGAAGACAGAATTAAACCACTCTGGGAGACACCTAGATCCAAGGAGGTAACACGATCAAGACAGAGCACACCACGCTAGCCTGATGGTCCTTGTGACACCGTGCACTAGACAACGAGCCATGCTCAGCAGCTCTTCTGCAACACTCACTGTCTGAGGGCACTGATGGCCAAAAGCTCCTGTTCATTCTCTGCTTGGGTGGTTCCCAGATATTGCCAGGCCTGGAGAAGATAAAGATGCACAAACTCAGACTTCTTCACCCCCAGAGAAAAAGATAAGCCAATAAACTACAGACACAGAGATTAAATCCACCATATTATCCCACACATATTTTAGAGAGAGACCAAATATTTGCAAGTATATACATCAGCTAGAGATACAAGTTTCTCTTGATGGCACACAGTCCTTCAAGACAATAAAACTGGCATGGTTACAGTGAAAAGAAGTGAATGTTTACCTGGAGACCTATCATAAAGCAACCGCTGGCAGTTTTACACTATTAAGTGACAGAATCTCCACTTTTAACTTCTAACTGTGGTCAAACTGCAGAGGAAGGAGGGCAAAGCAGATTTCTTTTTTCCTAAGAACAAGATGGCATAGCAGCAGTGCTAGTAATAAGGAGACCCCCCCAAGGTAGGCAGATGTATATATTAGTGCAGTGGTCCACTAGCAAGTGATAATCAGGGGGAGCTGACTGTCAGACCTGAAAGTAGCAGCACTTATTTTACTGAATCTTCAGTCTTCGTGACACCCATACACGAAAACCACTTTCACCTCCAGGTTGCTGACATAGAAAATATTTAATTAAGGCACTAAATCCAAAGTACCTGTTTCACTTTATGTTGACAACCACACCCCTTGCTCTAAAATAGGCTAGAAAGTTGGCAGGATTGTCAGCAGGAAGTACCCACTTTTAGAATGTATGCCACAAAATGCAGTATCCACTGTCTGGAGGAAGGAAATAATTTCATTAGCAAAGAACCAGACACACTGCACAAGCCACCACAAGGCAAGAGGCAATCCACTGTCTCAAATCTCTAATGCTTCACCATAAAGCTACCTGCAACTCAACAAGAGCTGGCCAGTGGTAACTGCATGGTGTTCTGCAGGCAGAAGAGCTGGGATTCAAGGTAAAGTCATGATTTGGATCAAAGCAACCATGACAATTCCTCCAGAGCAACTGTTCAGGTCTATTTGATCACTGTACCATTTGTGAAGTCGTGACTTCTCCTCTACTTTCTGCAGAGTCACAGCAGAAGAATTCAGAATGTTTTCAACAGCCAGAACTGGCCCAAGATTTCTTCCCTTAAAGTTTCAACTACCTCTCCATTATGCTCAGCCTGCCTGAGAAGAGAGTGCCAATTCTAAAGGAATATCAGCAACACCTTTTGACCACTTCAGAGCTAAAGTAGATCTCCAAAACCTGTCTACTCCCAGTATTCTAGAAAGTTAAAACCAAGAACTTCTATTCTGAGAGGTCACTCTCATCTAAGCCTCAGGATTAGCAAACTAGGTATTTTCAATCATATACAATTAGCAGGGCTTGAATCAGACACACTGAGAATTCACCATCTCTGGGTCCTTGAGGCAGGCACTCCAGAAACAGACAAAGAGGCTGTATTTGCATTCTTCCTCTTGAGAATATCCACATCCTCTACCTCTGGAGAAAGGTGCGCAGACTATTCCACTCCTCAATCCATCCTGCAGGAGCTGAAGTGCTTTATGAAAATAAGTATTCAATGACTTAGGAGCTGGAAACTTTAGTATAAAAATCATTCTCTGGCCTACAGATTCAAGTGAAGACACCCACGCCATCTCTCTCAACTCATCTGGGTTACGTCTTCTCCAGGTATCTAGATGGAAGACCTAACCAGGAGCCCTAGTCTAATGAGCTGTTCAGAATTAGTCTTTAATACAGATATTGAAAGCAGGTATCTGCCACGAGCATCTCCAAACTTGCAATGCCAATAAAGACTTCCACAGAAGCAACTTAAGAGAACTCCCTTGTCTTAGCTCCATGCAGTCTCAGGTGCTCTAAAGATTTTACAAAGCTCTAGGCCAGAACCTTTGTGGTTTTTTGTAACTGACCTCAACATAAGCCTCCTTGCCCACAGCCCTCCTGGGACTCGCATACATCAGCTGCATACCCAGAGCCACAGAAGGATAAAATCTTTTCATGCAGCCTGCACAGCTCCTAACACCAAAGTGAGCTTTCTACACACACGCTGACACCTCACCAGGGAAGGATCCAAGCAGCAGGACACCCGGCCAAGGCCTGTTATCTCTGCTCTCACTCACCTCCATATGATCTGGCCTCTGTTGCACTGCAGCCTCAAAGAGCAAGACAGCATTGGGGAGGTCACCTTCCTCCAAGCGCTTCCGCCCCTCTTCAAATGCATCTGGGTGATCTCTCATGGGGTTATCTTCCTCAAACTGGTAACCCTAGGAGAGAAGAGAGACAGAGGATAATGCTGGGAGACAGGCTGAGGGAGGAAAGCACTCTCTACAGAACAGCACAGTCTAGTCTTGCTAATTCAGAAACAAACTGCAGACCAGCCAGCACTTGGACCTCTCTGCTAGTTTGTAGCAGATCAGAAAACAGTGATTCTTCTTCCTGCTTGCTCTGTACAGAAAAACCTCCCCAAACGAGACCTGGAATAAGTTACAACAGACACTAAACATCTGGTGTGAGTCCTAGCAGCTTGGGGGTGACAACACTTGCACTCATTGCAAAGAATTCCAGCATTAACTGGTATTTGCTGTTGGGCGAGAACCAGACAGCATCTGCAGACAAGCACAACTGAAAATAGTATTTCTTTAACCGCCAGCTGATATGGGATGAGGGTGCAAGTGACAGCAAAAGATCAGTGTGAGAAGGCATCCAGCCAGCACTCAGGGTCTGTGGGGCTCATCTGCAAGGCAGACATACTGACAGCCTCCTCGAGGCAGTCCATCACAGCGCTAGGGCTGAGAGACCCTGTTCTCTGTTACCTTGTCATATGATGAGGAGCTGAGGTCTTCATAATCAGAGAGCCAAGGGTGAGCCTCTGCATCTCTCTTGGCCATCTCCTCCCATTCTGCCTGGAGTTTATCCCAGAAGTCCACATCTGACTGAAGGGAGAACAGAATGTGACTACAGTACCTCAACCATACACTGACCTCTACAGATAGCCTCTTAAATGTTTCTAGCCCTCCTCACAGCATGCAAAGGAGAGAGGCAATCCTACCACAGGCTCTCAGCTGGTACCCCAGCCCTCCTCCTCCATCAGCTTTACCTCCACAGCAGTCTTTGCCTGCTCAAATTCCGTATCAAGAGTTGACATGTTTCCAGAGCGCGCAAATTGATCCACCCAGGCATCGGATGCCCCCTGGGAGTTTAGAAACAGAAACACACCTATCTTTTTAGAATTTGGCAACCTCAGGGCACATCTCAAAACAGCAGGAGGGTCTGTGATGACCCCTCCTCCCCATCAGCAAGAACTGATGGCCTGTAAATTGGAAAAGAGTACATTTGGATATCCCTTTCCTCCCAAGTTGCTACAGGAGATGAGAAAACTCACACTGCCCAAATACTTTCCCAGCTTCTGGCTAGACTCTGCTAAGACATGGTTTAGATACGTGGTTTTTTGTTTTTGTCAGAGTTAGGTTGATGGTTGGACTAGATGATCTCAAAGGTCCTTTCCAACCTAGACAATTCTATGATTCTACAATTCTAAGACAAGCCCAAGAGTCCCTCCCTCGCCTCCCCCAGCCTAGTCATTAGTAGAGCATTGCTGAGAGTTGGACTTGCCGTTCTCCCTCGCTCCCAGACTGTGCACTCTGGCAAAAAAGCTTTCCTCCTTCAGAGCACATAAGGCTGGGGCTCCTACCTGCTGCTGTATAAACTCAGCTGCCCATTGCTCTGCCTGATCTTGGTCTCTGTGGGTCACCTGATTAGCTTCGATCGATACCCTCCCATCTCCGATCTGGCGGACAAACTTTAGGAACTGTGGCAGAGAAATGAAACAAGGGTGGAGCTGGGCAGACACTTTGCCAACAAGCCCTCTGCCCATGCCCCCCTCCTTCACTAAGAGGACTTCTTTCTCTCTGCAAAGCGAGCACAAAAGGCCCAAAAGGGTGGGGAGGACAGGACTTCACCAGTCACGTGGTAGAGATGGATAACATCTAAAGTGGATTGTAGGGTTCAACTTCCAGGAATTGGGGAAGAAACGGAAACACGGGACAGCAGGAGGCTTTATTCTTTTACTGTCTTTCCCCTTCTCGATTCCCCACACCCCTTATTCACACTAGGTATCTGTCAGCCCCACTTGGGGAATGTCTTACCTCAGAATTCTTGAGTTTTGGATCATCCACTTTAGAGAGGAAATCACTAACAGTTTTCTTAAGATCATCCTCAGGTTGATATTCCTCATACCTGTGTTCAAAGGCAGTAAAAGGGAAAGAGACAGTCTGATACCAGGCAACAGTGAACCCTCTCACTAACAAGAGTCAACACAATAGAACCCCTCCTCAGAGACTCCGGGGTTCTCCTAAGTGATTCAGTACCTTTATCCATCTGTAAAAATTAAAAATTACTACTAGGTTAAGTCTGCAAGTGGCTGACACAAACAGTAGCAGAATTAAACAATTACAGTACCAGCACTGTTCTTCAGAAAAGTGTGAATTCCTTGGCAAGCTCACATGCTATCAGACATCACAAGTTCTGGCACTACCAAAAACAAGGTCACATATCTAGGAAGAAAGTAGGTCATGCTCATGGAAGAGGAGCAGTGTCCTGGAAAAGCATCAACTCCGCAGAGGACTGAGGGCTCATAGCACACACACAATCCAGCATGTTGGCTGGCTTACAGCAGGGTAGGACCAGTTCCACGTGTCACCACTGCATTCAATCTTGGTGACGTCTTTGGAACTGGTGGCAATAACTCAGGAATGTCCATATTTGCAAAAAAACATATCAGAAAAGGCAAGAGCCAAGAGGAAAGAGAATCAAAATATGCCAAATGTGTTTTAGGGAAAGATCTCGGAAGCCCAAATTGCTTGATTGTGTTTTGCTTCTTTAATAGAAAAACTTGACTGTAGTCAACAGTCTAGTTGTTGAGAGATACAGAGAAGATGCGTAGTAGTAGACTGTTCTTTAATCTACCACAGGAAAAAAATATGAAAATAATGTCTGGAAGTCTAGAAATACGCAGAGGAAAGGCTGGATGTGGTTTTTCAGGGAGAATAAAGCGATAAAAGTTTACAACTAGTAAAGTCTAGTACTTGAGAACTCCAAATCTAAAAAAAGCATCTGTTGTGAAGAAAAAGTTCTGCTCGATTAGGAGTTCCTGAACTCACTTTAAGGAGCTTTGCATTAGGCATGAGATTAAGATAGCCTTAATCATGATCACAGTATCTTCCTGGAACTAGAAAAGCTAGGATTTCTTAAAAACTTCAGTCTCCAAACATTGTTTCCTTCTTTCTCTGAAACCAAAGGCGTGAAAACATCAATCTAGATTAAATGACTAAAATGCGTTCAGGCTATAGCAGACTTCTATCACCTATCCAAACTTCACCCACCCAAATACCTAACAGCAATAACTAGTTTTGAGAAGAGAGACTCACCATTTATCTGCCAAAGACTGGTCTTCCGATTCCCCAAGCCACAGTTTCTCCTCTGACTGCTCTAGGTATTCTTCTGCCCACTTGGCAGGAGACACAGATAGTGGATCTGCACAGGACATCAGGAAAAATGGGGGGGAAGAGTAAGATAGGCAGACCATCACTCCAATTAACTTCAGATTTTTCTCTGTCCATCTTACATACAGTTTGCTAACACACAAAGAAGACTTCTTCAAAGAAAGATAATTTACATTTGTTTCTTCTAACTTTGTTTATTCTGATGCAAAAATCTTAGGCTCAGACTGTGTATTAATACAGATGCCACTGTGGTGCCAATACCTTATGATTTTCTACTGTAATTTCACAGCTTATCCATCTGCCCCATGTGGGATACTATGTAGGTCAAGAAAATTAGCAATGCATTACAAGTCTCTGTCAAAATCACAGCCTACAAGGCACTAGGTTTTCATCAGGACTTTCTCAAAGACCTTTGTAAATGCTGATTTATATTTCCAGAAGTATAGAGAGTGAAGGTCAAAGAATGCGACCAGCTGGCTCTCTACAGGGGACATTCCTAGAGAAGAGAATAGCACCTATTTAAGTATTACTCAAATTTTCAGATTAGGTCATGGATGGTAACAGGACCCTATTCCAGCCCCAGCTCTACACACAACACAGGATGGCTTTTCAGATCAACTACTGGCTTGCTTGAAAATGGAAAGCTTAACCTTTGGGCCAGAAATATTCACTTTCCTCATTTCCAAAGTGTAACATCCCTTTATCTCCACAAAACTGACAAAAACTATTTTGCCAAAGCACTAAACAACACTTGCCTTTGTACCAAAAGCAAATTTAGCTTTAAAAGAGGGAATTAGAGAAAACATAAGCAAGCAGCATTAACAGACCATCTCCAGAATTTGCATCAGTTGAATCATAATAATTTTTATAAAAGCGGTTTGAAGATCCTGCTTCTCTTAAATTCTCCAAATAACCTAAATAACCATTACACCTGAATAAAAGCTTCTACATCACATTGTGAGCAATTTGGCTAAACCACCATAAATCAGCTTCCCTGCCCCTCCCGCCCACCCCCCTATAAAGCTGCTACAGTAGACACTGCCTGCTGGGCCCAATTTCACATTCAGTAACTCTCCACAGGCAACACCTTGACAGTAATTCCAAAAGGGACCTTTCACCTGTCACTTCAGCAATAAATTCCTGTGACCAGTCAGCCTCATTGTAATCCGAAGAGGCATCGCCAGTGCTATCTGCTGCAGCCAAGAATTCCTGGCTCCAGTTTTCAGACAGTGCCAGGGCTGCCACACCTGGAGCTGCAAGAAGTTAAAAAAACAAAACAGAAGTGAGGATTGGAGCACTCAGAGGTATCATTTAAGCATTCCAAGCTAGCTCTCATCATCTCTGACCTTCCCCTTTCTCTTTGTTAGAATAAAAACACAGAAAGACTCTACTTGGAAGGAATCTCTGGAGGTTGCTAGTGTTTTCACGGCAGGTTAACACTAAAGCTAGACATTAGGTTGCTCAGGGCATTCACCAGGTAACTTCTGAACTTGTCCAAGGCTGGCAATTCCCCAGCCTCCCCAGGCACCCGATCCAGTACTGAATTGCCCTGCAGAGGAAGGAATGTCTCCTTACATCCAGTCTGCAAGTTGTGTCTATTGCCCCTTGTCCTTGTGCTGTGTATCGCTGTGGTGATCCTGGCTGTGGCTGCTGAAGACAGCAACTAGACACTCCACCTGCCTTGCCCCTTTGGCTCCTCTTCCCCAGGCTGAACAAACCCAGCTCCCTCAGCCTTTCCTCCTACACCATGTATTCCAGCCCCTGAACATCTTATTGACCTCCACTGGAGTCGTTCCCTTATGTCAGTGTACCACTAAGCCCAAATCTGGAAACAATATTCCAGGGATAACCTCTCAGCTGCTGAATAAATGGAGTTTAACCATACTTGGCAAATAAATACTTGGAGTTTAACCATAACACCGAGATCTTTTCCAGCTCTCCACCTACTCTAGCTCCCCTCACCTCGCTGAGGGGCCTGTCGGAAGCTTGACTGTTCAATCTCTTGCATCTCAGCCAATAAGTCATCCATCTTAAAGGTCTGGGGCGCACGGGACAGTAGAGGGGCATTCTGCTCTTGCAGGAACTCTCCAACCAGCTGCCAAAGACAGAGATGGATGACAAACATAGCATAGAAGATGAACAGGTAGAGCCAGGGAGCATAAGAGAAAGAAATGCGCTTGTCAGAAGCCCGTTATTAATGGGCTTACCTGATTAATACCAGGTAAGGGGAAAAACAGTAAACAATAGTGATGACAAAAGCAGCAAGGAGATGCATCAACCTGTTCTTACCTCATCTTCGGTGGCCACTCCCAGTGGTTTGGATGCCTAGAGGGAACAGGTATTACCCAAATTATCCCAACAGCTTTGACCCCGTACCCCTCTCCACACACGCCCCGTGACCCCATCAGTTCACATCTTCCTCGAGCTTAGGCTGTCAGCATTTTCTTGCATTAGCTTACCTACTTATGTGGAAGCTAAAGGAAATACCTTGAGTGATACTCAAGATACTCAAGTCCAACCCCTACCTCCCACCACCTTCTGGGTTAGGGTCCATGACAGCGAGGCACACAGCTCACCATGGCCACCAACATCCTCCCAGTGCCCCATACACAGCTTCCACAAACAGGCCCTCACCCCACAGGACAAATTAGGTGACCCCATGGCCTCTTCCCCCAGAAATAAAAGCAACCCCACACCCACCTGCACCAACAGCACCCCCCGTACCACTCACCACACACTCCCCTTTGGGCCAGCACACCCCACATCCCATGCAGGACCCCCCCCATCCAACCCCAGCTGGGGATACTCACGGCTGCAGCTCCGGGAGCCCCGGGGGGCCAGGCCAGCGGGCCCTGAAGTCCCTCCTGCCGTAAGGCTTTGTCCTGAGTGAAGTGGCCGGCCAGCTTCATGAGGGGGTTGGAGCCCCCGCACTCCGGTTCTACCAGCTCCCTCATGGCCATGGCGCCCGGCAGGGAGGGAGGGAGGGTCGGCGCCAAACCCCACCGGGCCTGCACCCGGCCGCGGCAGAGGGGGGCACAGACAGCGCTGGGTGAACACCAGGAGGAGCGACCGGCTACCGGGGGGCGCCCGACGCCGTGCCCCGACCCGGCTGTCACCCACCAGCCCTACCCTCCCCCGCGGGCACCCGGGCCGGAGTCCACAGGGACGGGGAGGGAGGAGGGGGCCGGGCTCAGAGGCAACACCGCCACAGCGCCGGCTCCGAGGAAGAGCCTCCGCCACTCACCCCCAGCCGCCCGGGGGAACGGGACACCCCCACCACCCCGGGCTCCCTCCGCCCTGCCCCAGCCCGCCCCCGCCCGCCCGGCAGAGAGGACACCCGCTCGCCCAGGACGGCAAGGCCGCGGCCTCCCCAGCCGGCCCCGCGC